GAATGAAGGATTTGAACTGGATCATATACGGACAATGACTAATGAGCAGGTGGTTCAGTTGAATATTGGAATGGGTATATTCTCGATAATAAGAAATGGGTTAAAGAGTCCTATCTGGCAGTCACAGTTGAAGGAGATTAAATTGTCTTTATCTGCTGTTTGTAATGATGGCAGCAGACCTCATACTGCTTCTGCTTCTGAATTTGAAACTTAGATATTATATATCATCATAATTGAATTGCAATCTGAATCTTTTTAAATTTTACAATACTATCCTATATGAGCAGATCTGAAATATCCTCTTGCATCTTCTTCTCCCATGAAATTCTCAACTGCATGATGCAAGAAGGTTTCAAAATCTCCATCAAACTGATTCTCTAACTGACATCTGTATCTTCTAATCCATTCTTTCAACGCGTGAAATGACTCCTCTATAGGATTATAATCAGGAGAATATGGAGGTAAGAATAAAAGTCCAATGCCAGCTTCTCTGCAGAGATCTCGCAGTGCTTGTGAACGATGAGAAGAGCAATTATCCATCACTAAGTAGTGATAACCTCGTTGGCATTTGGGCAGTATCCGGACACGTACAAACTCATTGAACCTCTCTGTATTATAGGACCCCTGATATATATCATAATCAAGATATCCATTGACACTTATTGCAGGTAAGATTGACCATCTGCGAGATCGTTTACAGGGCCTTCTAATGTGACAAGGGAATCCTCTGCTTGACCATCCATATCGTCGATCTGCAGTACGTTCATTCGCAGCACTCTCATCTAAAAAGATAAGTTGATCAGGTTGATACTGAGTAACTTGAATACGCCATTCAGCTCGAAGTTCTTCGTTGCGTTGACTGGCCACAGGTTCAACCTATATCAAATAGAACTGACAGATTAGCAGGTTCTATAAGTGACAATTGCAATAATTAATCACCTTCTTCCATGTCAAATTCAGTTTCTTCAACAATCTAGATATCGATCGAGGGTGGATATCAACATCAAATTCATCCTTCACAAAGCAGACAGCCTCATCGCGATATGCAGTTGGATATGCCTCAAAAAAGTCCTCCAAACCTGACAAGATATCCGGTGTGATCTTTGGCTTTACACCCCATGTTGAACGAGGACTTCTAGCAGTTCCAAAGCAGCGAATATTTCGTTGGATTCGATATACAGTGGCCAGACTGCACTCAATGGTCCGCGCAATCTGAGCAGGCATATAACCATCATTTAGAAGGCGTACGATCTCATTGGTGGTAAATTCGCTGAGCTGGGGGGGGATATTGGCAGATTTGATGATAAAGGGTGCGTATTTGAATGAATTGAATGATATTTGAATGATTCTAGAGATATGTGGATATTTTGATTATTTTTGCAGTGTTTTGCTACTATTTTTCAGGGGGGTGGGCAGAAAATTTCTGTTTTCGCAAGCTTTTAC